TGTGTTAAATTGGTTGTTGTTGATATTGCAAATTCCTTGGCTTCTGACTGGGAAGGAATGACATCTCCTATGTTAATACTTAATGACTTTTGCACATAAGATTGAGAACAATAGGGATTTCTTTGTGATGCATCTTGGCCATTTAGAGGTCCCAATGGCTTCCCCAATCCTCCCCAATTCCTGATAGGGAAAACCTGCTCATACTTGCTTATTTTGGATGAGAAATACCATTGTTGCTGATTTCCCATTGTGCCTGGCAGTGGGGGTAGACAGTAACTTTGGGACAACAGGTGGGATGTGTTGGAACTAGATGAGGAAGGACTTACTTTGTCCAATTCAAATGGCCTCTTTTAAAACACCTTTTCTTGTGGTAGAACAGATAGGTAGCCATGTTTAGAATATGGGCAGCTGCTCACACTCTGACTGCCTTCCTATGATTCCTGGGCTTCCTGAGTCCAATGTTAGGGCACAGGTTCAGGCTAAGTTCATTTCTACAAGAAGCATCTCTGTACCCTGCCTATTAGCATAAGCTAGGGACAAGGGCAGTCAAAGGTCAAGAGAAGTTCAAAACAGCATGACCTTTCTGTGCTTCTGTTTCCAAATAACCCCAGTCTGCTCTGCTCCCCGAGTTTTTTCCTCAGCCATCGTGTTTACTGTGTAGTTGTAAAACCCAAGAGAACAAGGACTGACTTGATACAAGGGAAGTTAGAGAATAGAAGTCATTGTTGCTTAAAACAGGAGAAATAATTGATTTATGTTTGGGGGCCAATTAGGCTATAAAACAGGAACAGTAAAGGGATCTGTGACTTAAGGACTGCTACTTACTCTGATTTCTGCCCCACAGACAAGGGGCTCCCCAATAAAGGCTGTTAGCTTTCTAGGCTAAATTATTAATTCCTTTCATGCCTCTCAGGGATTGTAAACAGCACATAATACAGGAAAACAATTGATACTGTTCAGTCATTGGCCAGAGAGAAGGTCAAAGGGTAAATAGTTGGATTAGCAACAGCTGTTCTTCCTCTAACCAAAGTCAAACTTTTGTCCCTTATTATCTATTTCAGCAAAGTCATTTCTGAGTTTTTGGCCTGTAAATAGTTAAATCCATTTCTCTACTTATAAAATAATTCTACAAGCAATTAGAGAGTAAACATTGACCAAAATTGAAAATACTCATTTTAATTCAGTTTTCAGTGTTGAAGATGAGTATTCTTTTTGGTATGTGCTTACTGTATTGTTTGATGTTCAAAGGGTATTATCCCAAGGAAAGGAACTACTTGAAGTTAGAGTAGGTGCTTTTTAGCTCTTTTTTACCAACTGCTTAAAGATCTTGGTATAGTCCTAGCCAGTTTGGTTCAGTGGATAGCGCGTCAGTCTGCAGACTGAAGGGTCCCAGGTTCGATTCCGGTCAAGGGCACATGCGGGTTCAGTCCCCAGTAGCGGTTGTGCAGGAGGCAGCCAATCAATGATTCTCTCTCATTAGTGATGTTTCTATCTCTCTCTCCCTCTTCCTTCCTCTCTGAAATAGGCACATTTTAGAACATATTAATTAAAAAAAATAATACAGGCCCTGACTGGTTTGGCTCAGTGGATAGAGCGTCGGCCTGCGAACTGAAAGGTCCCAACTTCGATTCCGGTCGAGGGCATGTACCTTGGTTGTGGGCACTCCCCAGTAGGTGTGCAGGAGGAGACAGATCGATGTTTCTCTCTCATTGATGTTTCTAGCTCTCTATCCCTCTCCCTTCCTCTCTGTAAAAAATCAATAAAATATATTTTTTTAAAAAAAGATCTTGGTATAGCTTGATGAAAAGAATTGACTTTGTTAGTAGAGCAATGCATGTTCATTGTGGAAAACACTAAAAAATAAATAAATATATGAATATCCCTGATCTCACCACCTGGAAATAGCCATTGTTTCTTTTTGAGAATATGTCCTTCCATTTGTATCTGAGCTTATTTCTTTGAAAAATGTATTTCTTTACAATTTTTGTTTATTGATTATAGAGAGAGAGAGAAAAATCAATTTGCCGTTCCACTTAATTACACATTCATTGGTTGGTTTTTGTATGTGCCTTGACCCACAACCTTGGCGTATTGGGATGAATCTCTAACCAAATGGCCATGGCTTTTATTTTTTTAAAGCTTTTTATTTATTGATTTTTTTTGAGAGTGTAACAGAGAAACAGAAACATTGATTTGTTGTTCACTTATTTATGCAATCATTGGTTGATTCTTGAATGTGTCCTGACCGGGGATTGAACCTGCAACCTTGACATATTGGGGTGATGCTCCAACCAAGTGAGCTAGCTACTTGGCCTGGGCTGAGCTTATTTTTTGCATAAATAAGTAGGAATTGTAATATATATACAGTTTTGTATCCTGCCTCACCCCCCCCCCCAACACCCACATACAGCATTAGATTGGGAATATTATTCCAAGTCATGAAGCTTTTTTTTCATAAATGTTTTTAATGGTAGGATAATATTTTATTATAATAACTTTGCCATGTTTTATTTATCTGTTCTCCCATTGTTGGACATTTAGATTGCTTCCAGTTTTTTGTACATCTCTATATAAAAGGCTAAGTGACTGACCATCTGACTGACCAACCGGCTGGTACATATGACACACACTGGCAACCTAAAAATAAACATTGACTCGCGCATGAACGATACATATAATGCTCTCACTGCCACCAATCGCACACATTTTTTAATTTTATGATACTATATAATATATACTATTTTGACATGTAATTTTTTGCAGTAACGTAATTACCGCACGAATCTTTCTCCTAATTAATTTCCTTTCAATGTGCACGAATTTGTGCACCAGGCCACTAGTTATAGACAATGCCACAGATAACATGTTTGTGTATAAATTTTTTGTCTGCATTTCAGTTGAACCCTTTAGCTCAAAACTTTTTAGAATTAAGAGCATGGGCTGTGGCTCAAGATTGCTTGGCTTCAATATTTACTAGTACTAGCTCTGTAACCTTGGCTAAGTTTATTTAATCTCTCTGTGCCTCAGTTTTTTCATCTGTAAAATGGGGGCAATAAAATGTTATTCCTACTTTATAGGGCTGTTGTGAAGTAATATATGTATTTAGAATAATGCTTGGTACATGGTAAACACTATTAAGTTTGCTGTTTTAGGCTATACAACGTAAAGTTGAAATTCTCAGTCTCTGTACTCATGGGCTGTTGTAACTGCACTTTATTCAATTAGACTAGCCTGTGTTTCTTAATGACACAAAGATAAGTCATTCCAGATGTTAGCAGATGTAAGTTATTGCTATATAAGTAGTTTCCTCAGAGGAGCAGAGCTCGTGCACTGCTGACCACTTTGGCTAAGACTGTTCTTTACCATCTGGTTGACTGTTAGAATATTTTGGGCCCCTTTCCCCAGCCAGCAGCAGGTAACCTCCCAAATGACTATCTGCCAACCCATTTATTTAACCTCTTAGGAAACTAAAGAGTTAATCCTCTGCCTATTAAAACAAATTCTCAGACTATGCACTTTCTCTTTGGAAAGTAGCAAAGCCTAATAGAGAGCATGCTGAGGAAAAAATTTGTGCAATTAAAAATTTGACTATTAACCATTTTTAAAACACTGCATAATACAGATTCTTGCTAACCTAGGCGCCA